ATCGCCTCCAGGTGGATCTGTCGAAGAAGACATAACATATTTTAAACATTCCGTAAATTTGCTTCGGATACACAAGGGCCGTCTGTGCTAGCTGTCCTTAATTTTGAACTTATATGCTAGATAGAAGGCAGCTAGTCAACAGCACCCACCGCCACTTCTTGGGCTACTCTTGTGGGATTTGACCGTAACTCTTAGAGCGAACCGCTCCCAAATGCGGAGTGTGTTTCTGCGGCAACGGCCAGCGAACTGTGATCTCTGAATTCACACTCCAAGTACGCTAATCACCCTCACAATCCGCTAAGCAGCCGTCGGCGTCTGGGCGGTACTACAAAGTTACCCGATACCGAACGAACGCTGTATGTGGTAACCATGGAAACCGCTTCGCATTGCTGCCCGACTATCTGATCTTATATTAAAGTTTTTCTTCATTACCCATTTAAGCCGTCTCCAGCCATTATTGATCTTTGTTGTTGTTTTACAAAGTATAAACGGCCACACTAGGTGGACTTATTGGTATTTCCAACACTGAAACCTCTCAGTGGCTCGTCGCTATAAATATGGTAGTCCATTTGTGTTAGCTAACACCAACACTGATATCTGGTGGCCATATATACAAAAGGTGTGGGGGCCATGTTGAAATAATCCTTTATGAATGTGGGCTAGAGCACAAAATGATCTTTAAGTATACAAGATTTGTTGTTTTTTTTTCTGTCACTGATATCCACAGGCCAAAATATATGTAAAAAAAATCACCGTCCATCAGGAGACAGTAATGACCTCCACCCGAAGAAAATTGGAAGGACCAGACAAAAAAAAGGGGGGGGGCAATTTGACGCTTTTACTGCGTATGCTGTATGTTTACAGTGTAATCTACATATTATTGTATGTTTACAGTGTAATCCACATATTATTGTATGTTTACAGTGTAATCCACATATTAATGTATGTTTACAGTGTAATCCACATATTATTGTATGTTTACAGTGTAATCCACATATTATTGTGTGTTTACAGTGTAATCCACATATTATTGTGTGTTTACAGTGTAATCCACATATTAATGTATGTTTACAGTGTAATCCACACATTATTGCCTTTTTAGTTGAGAAAAATCCGTAAGAATTACCCTCGTCCTGCCTTAAAAGTAAAAAGAAAAAGGCAAATCGTGCTCCTGCTGTTGAACAGCCTATGATTAACTTTCCCGATCGCTTGTGTGCTTGTAATGCTTGTCTGACAATCATTAATCATTTGATTTACTGCTAAATCCCGGCGGCCTCGAGCTAGTCCTATTTATCCTCATTTTCAACCTAATCATTACGATAGTAATCCTCTAACATTACGTATATTAACTTAGTTTATTTCTACAATACCGAAACATTTGAGCGTCATAAAAAATAAAAACAGACTTTACGAATCAGCTTAGTGATTTACATTCTTTTATGCCCCCCCCCCCCCCAGTGGCACAGCGGTATGTCTGCGGACTTACAATGCTAGAAACCGGGTTTCGATAATAAATTAGCAAACAGAAAAACGATCAGTTCTCTTACAAATCAGGTGAAGCAGAGTGGGGCCAACTGGTTATCGTACCTGTACTGTGAATCCGAAAATTCAAAGTTCGCGATTCGTTGCTGAAAAAAAAAACTTTGAGATCGTGGATGCACTATAAGAGTAACAGTCTAATTCCATTATTCGATTAGAATAGCGAAACAGTTGGCGGTGGTTGTTGTAGACTGGCTGCCTTCCCACTTGCCTATCAATACGTTGTTTATCTTAGAATTACAGTCAGAAAGTAAGTAGACTAAACCAGACCAGTTTAGTGTTGAATAACACATAGTGTCTGTAACATCTTATAGGAAGATGTTACAGACACTATGTTTGTTTGATAGGTAGATGTTACAGACACTGTGTTTGTTTGATAGGTAGATGTTACAAACACTATGTTTGGTTGATAGGTAGATGTTACAGACACTATGTTTGGTTGATAGGAAGATGTTACAGACACTATGTTTGGTTGCCAACCAAACATGTGGTCTGTAA